TGTCCCTGGCTTTCTGCAGTTTGACTATGATATATTTGGATTTGAATTCACTGATTCTTTTGCCAATTCAAATCTGCTGCTGAGCCCTTCTAGTGAATTTTTTATTTTGTTGATTGTACTTTCAACTCCAAAATTTTCATTTTTTTGGTAATTTCTTTTTATTGACATTTTCTAATTGAGGCCGGGTGCAGTGGCTTATGCCTGTAATCCCAGCACTTTGGGAGGCCGAGGTGGGTGGATCACTTGAGGTCAGGAGTTCGAGACCAGCCTGGCCAACATGGTGAAACCCCATCTCTACTAAAAATACAAAAATTAGCTGGGCGTGGTGGTGGGTGCCTGTAATCCCAGCTATTCGGGAGGCTGAGGCAGGAGAATCATTTGAACCTGGGAGGCAGAGATGGCAGTGAGCTGAGAGCACACCATTGCACTCCAGTCTGGGTGACAGGGTGAGACTCCATCTCAAAAAAAAAAAAAAAAAAAAATTTGTATATGGTTTCCCTTATTTCTTTGAACATATTCGGAATTGATGTTTTGAAGTCTTTGTGTACCAAGCCCTGCATTTGATCTCCTTCAAAGATAGTTTCTATTAACTGTTTTTATTTCTGTATTCTTTGCATGTGTCGTAGTTGTTTGTTGTAAATTGGACATTTTGTTTAATATATTGCAGCAACTTTGGATTTTGATTTCTTCTCCTCCAGGAGATGGTTGTTGTTGCAGGTTTGTTTATTGACTTGCCTCTACTAATTTTGTGATGTCTGTTTCGTGTGCCCTCTGATTTCTCTGCTCATTAAAAAAAAAAAATTCTCTTTTCTATTTTTAAGCCTGGCATTCTAGGAATTTCACTGGGTTACTATAACTTAGTCATCAGCCAGTGATTGGAGATTGTTTAAACCTTTGAGCTAGTAAGGTATTTACTCTTTGACATGGGATATATACATTTACTGGGTAATACTTTCAAAGTCAGGAGATTATAAGTCTGATTTTTTTTTTTTTTTAAATTCTCTATGTTCATGAGGCCTCATAGTTAACTAGAAATGAGTAGTTTGCTGGTTACTGCCCTCTCTTTGTGGTTGCTTGGGGGATTGTATCTGTATATCTGGTGGAACAACAGATATACAGTCTTCTGAATAAGTGCATTCTTGCATATGCGTACAACTTTCTAGACTACCAGTAATATATATGTGAGACCTTGGCAAGATCCCGTTGGGCTATATCATTTTCCAGATTTCTCTGTTAATTTTTGGACTGATCTGCTGTTTTGTTGCCTGACCCAAATTGTATTGTGACCTTATGCTAGCCTTATTCTTATTGCTGCTGAGCTGTCTGTTATTTTTGACAACTTTGTCCTTTTTGTCATTGCTTTTTGGGGAGAGGATTTGCCGAGCTCCTCATTCAGCATTCTTGAAGTCTTGTCACTTATGTGTATGTCTGTGTGAGTGTGTTCTGGTAGTAACAAATATGTGACATAAAATTTGTCATTGAGGCTGGGCATGGTGGCTCGTGCCTATAATCCCAGCACTTTGAGGGCTGAGATGGGAGGATAGCTTGAAGCCCAGGAGTTGAAGACCAGACTGGGCAATATAGTGAGACTCATCTATGCCAAAAATTTAAAAAATTGGTTGGGTGTGGTGCCATGGGCATATAATCCTAGCTACTTGGCATGCTGAGGTGGGAGAGCCCAGGAGTTGGAGGTTTCAGTGAGCTGCTTGTGCCACTGCACTCCAGCCTGGGTGACAGAGTTAGACCTTGTTTCTTAAAGAGAAATGACCATCTTAAGCACTTTTAAGTATATACTATATTACTGTTAACTATATGCACATCCTTGTGCAGCAGATCTTCAGAACATTTTTGTCTTGTAAATCTGAAACTCTGTCTATTGAACCAATGACTCCCTTTTTACCTTTCCCCTGCCCCCGCCCTTGACAACCACCAGTCTACTTTCTAAGAGTTTGACAATGTTAGATACCTTATATATGTGGAATCATACAGTATTTATCTTTTCATAACTGGCTTATTTTATTTACCATAATGTCCTCATGTTTCGTCCATGTTATGGTATAGTATGGGATTTGCTTATTTTTTAAGGCTAAATAATATTCCATTGTATGTGTGTATTACATTTTGCTTATCCATTCATTCAAAAATGGATATTAGAGTTGCTTTTACTTTACAGCTATTGTGATTAATGCTGCTTTGAACATGGGTGTGTGAATATCTCCTTAAGATTTTCTTTTAAATTATTTTGGGTATATACCTAGAACTGGGGTTTCTGGATCATTGTAATTCTGCTTTTGATTTGTTGAGGAACCTCCATATTATGTTCTGTAGCAGTTGTACCATTTTATGTTTCCACTAAGAGTGTATAAGTATTCCATTTTCTCAACACTTATTATGTTTTTGATAATGGCCATTGTTATGACTGAGAGATAGTTCATTGTGGTTTTTGATTTGCATTTCCCTAATGAGTAGTTAAGTTGAGCTTCTTTTCATATACTTGTTGGCCATTTGTATATCTTTTTTGTGGACATGTCTTCAATTCCTTTGTCCATTTTTAAATAGAATTACTGTTATTTTGTTGTTGATTAGTCATGGAACTTGTTTATATATTCTAGATATTAGTACCTTATCAGATAGATGGTTTGCAAATATTTTTGTCCATTTCATAAGTTATCTTTTTTATTCTTTTTCCTTTGTTGTGCAGAAGTTCTAAAATTTGATGTCTCATTTTTCTATATTTGCTTTTGTTGCCTGTTATGTTCATTTTAAAAGTATCCCTTTTCTCTGTTATTTTATAATACCTTACCTATAATTAGATTTTTGAGATATATTCAACTCTCTTCTGAAATTCTTTGCTACTAATATCCATTACATTATCATAGATGTTCTGATTTTAGGGATGCATTTTACATGATGTATTACCTAAAAGTTATACATAAATAAAATATTTTAAAGTTGTAGATTTATATATTTCAAGAAGGAAAAAGAATGAAAAGAAAATACCTTTTTTGGTTACCTCAAGGAAGATCCATTTGTTATAACAATCATCATTTGTGTTTCACCTTTTACAGTATATATAAATATATGTTATTTATTTATTTTTCTTTCCTCTGTGATTTTGAAATTGAAACTATCTTGCTTATAGTCAGATCATATGTCTCAAAATTCCATGTTCTAATCCAGAAAGTTACCTCTTGTGTTAATGTTTGGTTAGTAGCATTCTGATGACACTAAGTTCTTGAGTTTGATTCAGGTGTCTTTAAACATCTGTACTCTGAGAACTGTGAGACAATCTGATTTATGCCCTTAGACTGCAACTTTGATAGCCATTTTTCAAATATATCATTGTTACACAAGGCATAGGGTGGGAGAGGTGGAATTGTAATCTGCTCATTGTCCAGTTAGGTAGATAAATAGCCAGTGGAAACATTTTCAGTGCTGATAATGGAAGTGTAGAGGCAGTATTATAGTGGTTAAGAGCCATGGCTCTGGCATAATATTTCTTAATTTTGAGTCCAGGCTCTCCTAGATGTTTCATTTTGGGAAGATTCTTGACCCTTCATGTCTCAGATTCTTCACTGTAAAATGGGGATAATGGTATTTACATTTTGTGGTTCTTAGGAGGAGTAAATAATTGTTTACAAGTAAGGTGCTTAGAATAGTGCCTGGTACATACTCAGTGCTTAGTAAATATTGCTTTTGTTACAGGCACTGATCAATATATAATCTTGTGCTAGCTGAACAATGCTTGAAGAAATTAATGCATTTTAAAAATACTGTGATAATGACAAAGATCTAAAAATTGTGACATTCTATTAGCATAGAGTACTAACAATAAACTTAATAGCTGCCCTTTAAAAAAAAAAAACCTCTGGTTGAAGAAACAAATTAGGCCCATACTTTTGTAATTATAATAATAATATTTGGCACCTTTATAATGATTTCTCTGTGAGGAAGGTAGTATTCTAAGCTTTATATAGATTAATTGATGTAATATTCAAAATATAGTATTTTTATACAAATTTTAAAGATAATGAAACTGAGGCACAGATACAATAAAGTCTTTGCTGGCTGCAGAGTTATTGGTTTTAATCACTTTGCTATACTGTCTGTATTGCTACTGTGTTGCTGAACCAACTAGGTAGGCTAAAATGTGAATGAATAAGCTTAATATTTTTATTAACTTTCACAAATAGAGTTACAATAACTGTAAAAAATGTGATGGGAATACATTTTTTTCTTTGTCCTTTGTTGATTTGTAAACAAATTGTATCTAGAAGTGAGACAAATGAGCATAAAGCAATTTTGGTGAAATTTTTCATGTCTAATCTTTTATCTAATGATAATGGAAAGCAGTCAGAAAATATTTAAAATTTAGGACCAAGTAGTATCCAGTTCAATTTTACATTAGGTGAAGTGGAATACATTTTTTTTTTTTTTAGGTTGATCAGTTTTCATTTTGTCAAGTTATTCTCAAATCTCCAGTTGAGCTCCCCTTTCAACTTGACTTAGAATACTGTTCTATTAGTTTAAAACATATTTTGAAGACATATTTTTAGATGGAGACTTAAAAAATTACATCATTTCAGGTATCTCAAGTACTGCTGCTATATACTGTTGTACTACCATCTATGAGCTTACATCATGTACCAAGTATTATATATTATTTCCATTCAGCAAAGTAGGAGACAGGCCTAGAGTGCTTAAGTAACTTATTAAATGTAACTTGTACTATAAATTATTATTTATCATTAAGTATGGCCTAACAAGGTATTTGATGCTACTTTTTGATAAACAGTAATTCTCAAAATATTTTTGTGTTGGACATTTTATTTCTCTTTTAAGAAAGGAATTTGTACATTAGAATGAAAAATATTAAGCACTAAACAGTAAGTCCCCAAATATTCTTGTGTTGGAAATTTTATTTTTTAAAAAAGGAATTTGCATATTATAATAAAAAATATTAAACACTTACTAACTTATGCAATGTTTTGTGTTTTAAGGAACTGAAATTACCATTCACTTTTTTGAGTGGACATATTCATGAATTAAGGATTCATGTACCATGGACAAAACTGGGTTCAGAACCAGTGGTAATTACCATCAATACTATGGAATGCATTTTGAAACTTAAGGATGGGATACAGGTAAGTCATTATTGAACTAAGTTGTTTATGTTAACTAATTTTAGTAGTATTTGACATTTCTTTACCCTTTTGAATATATCAACTGTTACATAAACATAGCTTATATACTTAATTTTTTTTTTTTTTTTTTTTGAGAGAGTCTCACTCTGTTGCCAGGCTGGAGTGCAGTGGTGCGATCTCGGCTCACTGCAACCTCCGCCTCCCGGGTTCAAGCGATTTTCCTGCCTTAGCCTCCTGAGTAGCTGGGACTACAGGTGTGCACCACCACGCCCAGCTAATTTTTGTATTTTTACTAGAGAAGGGGTTTCACCATGTTGGCCAGGATGGTCTCGATCTCTTGACATCGTGATCTGCCCGCCTTAGCCTCAGAAAGTGCTGGGATTACAGGCATGAGCCGCCGTGCCTGGCCTTTAATTTGTATATGCCCTTTTAAGTTACATGATTATTTGCAATGGGCGTTTTTAAATTTGAATAAAATATGTAAAGGTTGTTTTCATACAGATTTTACTTACTTTGTCATAGCTCTACTAGGGACCATGCAGATTGCTTATTGCTTATTACATCTACAATGAAAGTGCAGCCTAATTGTGTCCAATTTTTACATTAACATTTTTAGATTTTTGCAAAGGACCTGTATGAATTTTTTCTTTACATAATTTTTCTAAATCTGAAGGGAATTTCTCAGGTTATTTTTTGGGAAGATGAAAATATATTTGCACCAAATTTTATAATTGTTTTTGAAGTTTTGGTATAAGAAACTGATTTTTTCTTTTTTCAGATTTATTTCTTCCTTCTCTGACCCATCTTACATTTCTTGCTAGTGTTTTTTTGCAGATGTGTAATATTGGTTTTAAAGAGTTTCTACCAAAAATTTTACAATCTAGGAAAGCAAAATAGGTCAGGACCATAGCTTATTGTGGAGAATGTTTCCACTTTCACCTTGCAGAAGAGTGGTGTGTCTGTCATTCATTTTTATTAGTTTTTTTTTTTTTAAATCAGCTACTTAACATTTAACTTTTAGTTTTAAGGAAGATTGGCTATAATCAAGTAAATTGATAAGTATTATTAAAATGACTTCATGTGAATCTGTATGTAGGTTTAACATATTCTAAATGTAACTTTAATCTTTGTGAAGTTAGGGTTATATATGAACTGTTAAAATTATTTCCTATTTTAAGTGGATGCTTTGAGTGTCATATCAACCCACTGGACTCAGATGTTTTTTCCATGCATGAAATCTTTGATTCCAAACATGTATTATCCAATTTAACTTAATATAGTTTCTAGAAGTTAATAGACCAATGTTATATTCTCATGAAAATGAAAAGTTACTTTGTGATCTTCTAATATTTGAGAGATTAATTTAGAAATCTGTGGATAGTTACAACAAAGTTTTACTTTACATTTATAGTTGGTAATAAATGGTTCTTAATTATTATCTTTTCTTGGAATTTATTTTTTTTTCAAAGTCTGGACTTGGTTATACCACCCATGCAGTGTTCCATATTAAAAGAGAGAAAAAAAAAAAATCCAGACACTAAGTATTTTTTCATTGAGAAGGTGGAAATTTCAAGGCCAGATGTCCTATAAGAAACACGTTTTAACAGAGGCAAATTACAACTAATTATAGAGGCTGCAGAAAAAGACTTGTAACACATGACTTAGTGCAACCTAGAACTAATACTTGATATTGGACTATGCAGATGGCTACTGCAGAAATGATCAGGTTTCCTGCTTGCATGGTAATTGAGACTTGAATTTTGTGGTGTGTACAGCAAAAGGTTAAATGTCATGAATGTAAACCACTCTCAAAACAAGTATTTTTTACAGATGTTTAACATTTTGGGTTAGAGAGGATTTTCGAAAATTGCAGTTGACATTTGGACAAATTATTTAGCAGTGTACACCCCTGGAGAGTAATGCTTGGGTTTATGCTAGTGATTGGAATTAAATTTTGAGTAAAAACATTGTAGATGAAACAGATTTTAAAATAGTTTATTTTCCTGTTTTAAGCTTTGGTTAGTATAGTATGTAATTAAGCTGAAAATTACGCATGTAGTAGTAAAACTGAGTAAGTTTATATTCAAATTATTTCAAGTTACTGTAGAATCACCACGAAGAAAAGATGTATTTTCTAAATAAAATTGGGGTTGGAATGGTAGGTTTAGTGAAGGGGCCTTTTAGAGTTATAGGTACTCAAAGATATGAATCTGTTAAAAAACTATTATATATATGAATGTATTGAAGTATGACTAAAAGGTATGAATATAAGGCTTAAATCAGATAAGATCATTCCAAAAATAAGATATTGTTAAATGCCTTGATATGAAGGCATGTCTTGTTTGTGAAGGTAAATTTAATTCTACCAACATTTATTGGTTGTCTACTCTGTACTGCACTGAAAAGCATTGCTAAAATATTTATATAATCTCAGCAAAAGACACTTAGAAAAAGAGATTCATAATGATTGTGATTCTAGTGGTCATGGTTTAAATACACTGCCTTAACATATCATTATAATCAGTTTTACTTATAGAGATTTTTAGGATGAGTGGGTGACCAAGTTGTTGTGTTATGTAAAATGAAATCCATCTTGATGTTTACTCTGAATTTTTAAAAATATATTGAAACTTCACTCAAGAAATAGTTGTTAACGATTTCCTATTTACTCTGAGAGA